CCCCAAAACCCCAAAACCCCAAAACCCCAAAACCCCAAAACCCCAAAACCCCGAGACAGTATAAATTATTGAGCGATCTGTTAGTAATTGTATAATTTCTATGAAAATTAATTGGCCTTTTGGTAAAAATTGTGAGAATGTTCCAGAAGAATTGCTTTGTGAGAAAGCTACAAGAAAAGAGATCAAAACCAGTGAGAACATGAACAACAAGATGAAAATGTCTGCCTTCAATGTTTATAAACCAAGTATCATTGGGAGGAACAATGATTCTGATTCGCTAATTATGGCTAGACAAAATATTAGCTGCAGACAGACCGCGAAATTATCTAAAAATAGATCCTTTCTCTCAGAGGTTACCAAAAAGATCAATCAGATGGATGAATCTACTGGCTCAATAGAGGACAAACCAAATAAAAGGAGAAGAGGATATCTTCAAAAAGAGATCAGCTATCTGCTTCGTAGATCAGCTGAACTGAGAAAAAAGAAAACTGTATTCGCCACTTCTCAGATGCTCCCCTCAGATTTCTCAGTTGATGATATTCTAAGAGATAATTCATTTCCAGAATGTTCTGAAAATGATAATCTTGATAAAGAAAGCTTATACACATTTGGAGAGAAATGCTAAGCTTATATTAACCTTAAATTATTCTAAAACTTCCTTCTAAATAGCCTCTGCCATTATTGTTATCTTTGGGAAGATCATACCGGAATTTGATAATTTGTGCCACCATTTGTGCCATGGTTTAACAAATTAATACTCTCGGGTTTTCATACATTATTCTATTTTTCGCCATTTTAGCCATTTCCATTATTCTTACTTTTGAATTATGCCGACTCTAAGTTTTCGATTCTTATTAAGCTTATTATTCGGCTTTTGTTCTGATTTCAGTCATGACAAACATTCGGAAAATTTCCGGAATTTTTAGCATTAATTATTTTAGTCATTTTCTAGGTCAGTTAGAAAATGGAAGAGCCAATATTCTAATAATCAAAAAGATTAGCCCCCTTGGAACTTGAGATAATAGATATTTGGTTAAAAGATCATTTTATTAATATTTGGTTTACTAGAAGGTATGTCAAAATCGTAAAATGTGTTGTATAATTAGTAATTCGGTTTGGGTTATCGATAATATTGTAGTATTAGATATCATTCAATTTAATGTTTCTTCTTACTAAATCGGAAAATTCTGGAACAATTTTTAATAAAAATGAATACTTTTAGCTCCTTCTTAGCCTCATAATATAACTTTAAGTGGTATATAAATTCTTGCTTATATTACCTTGTCATAATTGTAATCAAAAATATAGTTATATACATTTTGGTGAGCATTTCTAAATATCCCCTAACCCAGCCACATTACACCATAAGACCAACCTTCTTCAATTAAATTTGATATTCCCCTATCTAATTTCACCCATATAAACATCTTCAACCCCAAATCTCCTCCCTGACCAACATCCCTGAAATTTTGACATCTTCACAACTTCACCTAAAAATCTAGGCATCACAGTTACTCTTCTCAAACTTCAACCTTAACATTAAACCCCGGGGTTTTGGGGTTTTGGGGTTTTGGGGTTTTGGGGTTTTGGGG